TTGGCCATCAGTACATTTCATTATCTTGATTCTGAGCAATCCCAAATTGAAAAAAAAAAATTGATTAAAGTTCTGTATTATGCAAAGTGCCAGGGATGAGTGGGAGAAGGAACATCATAAAATCTACTTTTGTCCTTCATATGGAATCCATTAGAAGAAATTCAAGCTTTTCTATTAAAAAAATAATTTAATCTAGGGTCTAAATTCTCTGCTGGTGTGAAATGCCACAGATTCATGTGTCTTTCACCTCAATTGTTCTCCCAAATCACTATAATTTAGAAGAAACTTCATTGAAAGCAATCAAGCTGCAGTGATGTAAAACCAGTGTAAATGTGAGGATAATTTAGGCACCTATTTTAATATGTCTCCTGGTATGTGTTTTGTTTTGGTGTTTTGAAAAGACTTCTAGCTCAGTGGAGAAATCTGGATGTAAAAATTAATCTTTCCAGAAGATAATTTTGTTGTCTCTCACTTCAGCTGATGGTACCTTGAATTTCCATGGAGATATGGGACTGCCTCTGAGTTCATTAAGGAAATATATTTTTGATTTCTTACAGGATAATCTCCTGTCTAAAAGACTGCAAGTACCAGGTGATATATCATTGAAAGTATCCCAAGAGAAATGGAGGAAGCCACATTGCTTTGAAGCATTTAAAACTGGACTCGACAACTCACTAGAAAATATATCACAGGAGCTAGACTAAGTGATTTAATAAGGCTTTTCCATCGCTAATTTGTATATCTTTATGATCCTGAGATCAAAGACCACTTAATTTTGTTCATCTCATGTACTTATCTTGTATTTATGAAGCACCTTTGATCCAATGACTTAAATGCTTTTGCTGTGTACAGGCCTGTGCTCTAAATTGTCCAATGTAAGAAAAGTCCAGCTCAGCCTCTTACTTAAAATTATTTATAAAAATCAGCAAAAATTTAAGACAAAAAGACCACCCAAGGACTGTGTTGAGATCATTTCTCATGAACCAGAGCAGTGTAGGACTAGAAATCAATGGACCAAAACTGGTGTGCTGGAAATTTGACCTAAATGGTGGAGAAAATAATGAGGGGATAGGATATTTCACCTGTCACTCCCTTTTGGGGTCCTTAAAAAAGACTTCAGGGTAAGAATCAAGTTAGCTAGCTGGGAATGAGCTTCCTCACAATCTTCTGGGATCCATTGTGACACCTTTGGACCTTCACTGCCTTGATCCAGAGAGATGTCCTGCCCAGAAAGAGAGACCCAGATGGCATCAGAACTTCAACCAGCTGCAGCTAAACCCCAAACACCACCTGAAATGTAAGACTTTGGTTCCTGCTGTCACCAACTTCCCAATCATGTGCCCCATTCCTTCCCCCACCTTTTTTTCCTTCTCCTTCCTTTTGCCTTCTGTCTAGAAAGCGTCTGGCTTACCCAGCCAAGACCTTCTCTTCCTATGCTGCTGTGGGCCCATGACCAGAGAGGCAGCTAAAACAATGCCCAAAACAGTCTGATGGCTGATACAAGTTTGACAAGTCTTGGAGTGGCTGATCAGATCATGTCCTGGGGGGCTGTGTTTCTCCAGCAGCAAGGCTGCAGGTAAGAAGCAGCACTAGAGACAGAAGCTGCATTTTCTATCTGTGCTGATCTTGCCTTTTGCCCTTTGTGTCTGTTGCTCTTGTTTTGTCTTCAGGGAAACAGGATCAGATTTTAGCAACAGTAACGACAACATCGCTTTTCCCCCAAAGAGGCAGTTACTGCCATCTTTAGTACCATCTAAAAGACAATTAGACAGGCCTAGTGCCTAAGGAAATGGAAATAAGGGATGTTGGTCACATAGAAGCCTCACTTAATACTTTACATTTCACATGCTTTTCCTGTTTTTCTTTTTTTCCTGTATCTTTGATGAAGTGTTTTAAAGGTGTTCTTTTATGATGATTGTTGCTATGGGATTAAGCAGGACAAGATCTCTGTACTCAAAACCCCAAACCATATTTGGCTGTTTAGTGTTGTACAGTGACAGGGCCATGTTCACACCTTCCGTTCCCTGGGCACCTTTATTCCACTGTAATTAACACACACACTGTCCATTTTGGTCAATTTCACGGTCATAGGATTTTAAAAATCATAAATTTCATTATTTCAGCCATCTAAATCTGAAATTCCCCGGTGTTGTAATTGTAGGGGTCCTGATCCAAGAAGAGTTGGGGGGGGGTCACAAGGTTATTGTAGGTGGGGTTGTGGTACTGCTACCCTTATTTCTTCACTGCTGCTAGCGGGGGCTTGCCTTCAGAGCTGGGTGCCCAGCCAACAGCTGCTGCTCTCTGGCCCCCTGAAATAACCTTGTGCCCCCCCACTGCCCGCAACTCCATTTCAGGTCAGGACCCCCAATTTGAGAAATACCAGTCTCATAGAATATCAGGGTTGGAAGGGATCTCAGGAGGTCATCTAGTCCAACCCCCTGCTCAAAGCAGGACCAACCCCAACTAAATCATCCCAGCCAGGGCTTTGTCAAGCTGGGCCTTCTCACACTGTGAAATCTGTGTATAGTATAAGGTAAGAGCACACAAAAGACCAGATTTTATGGGGGGAGACCAGGTTTCATGGCTGTGAATTTAGTAGGATCCTAGCGATACGACTACATAAAGTACCGTAAAAATGCAGCCATCTCTGGGTTGCATGGCTATTGATTTTACATGCCATCAAAGTCTAGTGATGACTCAGAAAAGATGATTAACTAGAGCCAGTTCCTGAGATGTGCTGAGCAACCCCACAAATCCCCCTGATTTCTGTAAATTATGCAGCTGCTCAGCATCAATCAGGAAAAGAGCCTAAGACTCAATGGAAGATAACGTATAAACCATGTTAGATTTCTCTCTTAGAAATTAGACAGATGAGAATACTAAACTCTACTAAAGATACTGGCTCAGATACTGAGTTGTGTCTGCAAAGCACAAAACAAACTCACTAGCCTTGTAAATATAGCTTTAAGATACCTTTGCACTCCCCTGGGCTGGCTTTGAGCTGATACAGTTCCCTGGCATTGTAGCAGTTGAAGGTCTGCTTTAAATTATGCTTGCTGCCTATGGCCCAATGGACTTTATAGCAGCAGCATCCAGAATGCTGAGACACTTCAACCATTCATCCATTTTCTTGGCCACCAGCCTATGCAGGGAAGGGATGGTGTGCATAGGACCGGCAACAATAACTCTATGCCAGTGGAGTATCCGCTTGCATTGAGAGATCATTCTGTGAATGCATTGAGACCTCATTTGGAATACTATGTTCCATTCTGGTCTCCCATGTTTAAAAAAGATGAATTCAAACTGAATCAGGAGCAAAGAAGAGCTAGTAAGATGGTACGAGGAATGGAAAACTTACCTTATGAGAGGAGACTCAAAGAGCGTGGCTTGTTTAGCCTAACCAAAAGAAGGCTGAGGGAAGATATAATTGGTTTTTATAAATACATCAGAGGGCTAAATACCAGGGAGGGAGCAGAGTTATTTAAGTTAAGTACCAATGTGGACACATGAACAACTGGATATAAACTGGCCATCAACAAGTATAGGCTTGAAATTAGTGAAGGTTTTTAACAGCCTTCCAAAGGGAGCAGTGGGGGCAAAAAAACTTAACTGGCTTCAAGACTGAGCTTGATAAGTTTATGGAGGAGATGATTTGATGGGACGTCCTACAATGGCATTTGCCTGATCTGCAACTGCCAGCAGCAAATATCTCCAGTGGCCGGTGATGGGACACTGGATGGTGAGGGCTACAGAGAATTTTTTCCCAGATGTCTGGCTGCTGGGGGTTGCTCACATGCTCAGGGTCTAACTGATCATCATATTTGGGATCAGGAAGGAATTTCCCCTTGGGTCAGATTGGCAAAGACTCTGGGGTTTTTTTGCCTTCCTCTGCAGCATGGGGCCCGGGTCACTTGCAGGTTTAACCTAATGTAAATGGTGGATTCTCTGCAACGTGAAGCCTTTAAACCATGATTTGAGGACTTCAGTTACTCAATCAGAGGTTAGAGGTCTATTATAGGAGTGGGTGGATGAGATTCTGGGGTCTGTGATGTGCATGAAGTCAGACTAGATAATGATGATGGGCCCTTCTGGCCTTAAAGTCTATGAGACTGGATATGGAGACTTTAGCTGCTTTTTGCCAGTAGCTAAGTGCAAAGTGGCCACAGCCTAGGTCTGGTGTCGGTCTTTGGAAAAGCATTACTTATACCTCTCCCTCCTGGTTCATACTTCTATTCAATTCCCAGCTCTTCCACTGGCCTGCTGGGTGACCTGGGGCATGTCACTTTCCTCCTTGTGCCTCAGTTTCTCCATCTGTAAAATAGGGGTAGTGATACTCACCTCTTTTATAAAGTGCTTTGAGATCTAAGGATGAAAAGCACTGAGTAAAAGCTAGGTATTATCATTACTACATTAATAATATGTTGCTTTATAATGGCTTTTACTATTGCATCATGCCATATTTCTTTATGGACTATGTGTTATCTGATTAAAGTTCCATTGATTCACAATTTATGTGGAAGTGTTTTGATCATTATTGTCACAGTTCCTCCCCCACTCTGAACTCTAGGGTACAGATGTGGGGACCTGCATGAAAACTTCCTAAGCTTACTTTTACCAGCTTAGGTTAAAACTTCCCCAAGGTACAAATTAATTTTATCCTTTGCCCTTGGAATTTCCACTGCCACCACCAAACTTTAACTGGGTTTACTGGGAAACATGGTTTGGACACATCTTTCCCCCCAAAATCCTCCCAACCCTTGCACCCCACTTCCTAGGGAAGGTTTGGTAAAAATCCTCACCAATTTGCATAGGTGACCACAGACCCAAACCCTTGGATCTGAGAACAATGAAAAAGCATTCCGTTTTCTTACAAGAAGACTTTTAATAGAAGTAAAGGAATCACCTCTGTAAAATCAGGATGGTAGATACCTTACAGGGTAATTAGATTCAAAACATAGAGAATCCCTCTAGGCAAAACCTTAAGTTACAAAAAAAGACACACAGACAGGGATAGTCATTCTATTCAGCACAGTTCTTTTCTCAGCCATTTAAAGAAATCATAATCTAACACATACCTAGCTAGATTACTTACTAAAAGTTCTAAGACTCCATTCCTGTTCTGTCCCTGGCAAAAGCAGCATACAGACAGACACAGACCCTTTGTTTCTCTCCCTCCTCCCAGCTTTTGAAAGTATCTTGTCTCCTCATTGGTCATTTTGGTCAGGTGCCAGTGAGATTACCTTTAGCTTCTTAACCCTTTACAGGTGAGAGGATTTTTCCTCTGGCCAGGAGGGATTTTAAAGGGGTTTACCCTTCCCTTTATATTTATGACAATTATTATCAGTGTAGTTATTAGAAGGGTTACTCCAGTCAAATCAATTACATGTAGAGGTTTATGCAGCATAGGAATACTGGAACAGACTAGTGCTAGCTTGATTAGATGGATCCCCTGCCTCTAGCAGTGGCCTTCATCTCTTTTCATATCTGAGCTGAAAAATATCTCTCTTCAATGCTGTCCCACTCTGCTATTATTTATGGCATTGTGTTATTAACTCTGTAAAGCATTTCAGGATGCTGTTTGTGTACCAAATAAAGTTGTATTGTACTTCAAAGATGTTAAGGGATTGCTGAGATCTGTGAACTCTGTGTGTCTGTGTATATATATATATATATATATATATATATATATATGGAATATTTTTTGCTCTGAGAGAGCTTATGACTCATGGGCCAACAGGTGTAAATTGACAATGCTGGACTGAAGTAAAAGTTAATAGATTGCAAACTCTTTTGAGTAGGGGCTCTCTTTTCTTTTAATTTCAGTAGGTAAAAAACAGTTTAACTTTTTTCCCTCACTGGAAAACAGGAAGGGGAGAAGAAAGAGTGAGAAAGTGTTCCCAGGGGAGAAAAGGAAAAAGTGATTTTTTTTTCAAATTAAAACAAAACAAAGTTTTTGTTTTGAATTTTTCCATTCAAGGATTGATATGTCTGCCCTCTACCACTCTGTCTGTCAGGACTGACTTTGTCACAATAGCCAGATCCACTACTTCTAGCCATTTCCCATTAATAGCCATATGTACAACCCACCACACAGACCATATGCTTTTTCTCTTAGGTCTTCTCTACACAGTTCTTTAATTCACACCAGAGGGGTGTCAATTTTAGTCCCCACTAGTGTGTCATGCACTAACTGACCTACGTGGACCCTAGTGGCATATACTAAAAGTTCCCACATTAACATAGGCTTGTCTAGAACAGGGCTACGGTAATGCACACTAGAGAATTTCGGTGCATGCCAGCAGGGCACACACAAGCCAGTTAGCACGCAGCATGCTAGTGCAGACTAAAATTTACCCCTCTGACGTGGACTAAAGCACCATGTAAACAAGCACTGAGTGTATGTTTCATACTCCAGATGTATCTGGGGTCTGTTAGTGTCTTTGACTAGCTCTCTGTGACTTTCCCTAGTTCAAAGGAATCTGAAGACTCTACTGTTTCACATTCTTTCCTCTGTTTTTCTTTTGAGTAGAGAGTGTAGATTTTGCTTGAACACAGGGTGTATTTTTCTCAAGCTCTTCTTTCTTGAGTTCCCAGTCTTCATCTGTCTGGTCCAGTTGAATCTCTTTCAATCCTGCCACCAAACGGTAGTCCCTGCACTCCACCTCAGCTCTACAGAAGAAAGAAAAAACATTGCCTTAACCATTGCACACTGCACAGTCCGACCACGCTTGTAGGACTGCTGTGGACTTTCCATTCAATGAAACAGACTAAAACATTGCGAACTGGTCATACACAAAAATTCAGTTAAAAATAACGAGCCTAAGCCTCTTCATTTCCACTCTTTCTGCTATTGCTTATTATGTAGAATTAGAGATGGTTCAGAACCAAAACATCAGATCAGAACAGCAAGAAAATCTGAAGAAGTTTCAGTCCCAATCTAATTTTGCAGCTGGTGGTGTCTCTAAAGTGGTCTGAACCAAACCCTAATTTAACAACCCTAAACTTAATTTTGCATCCAAATCCAAATCTGAACTTGGCAACTCAAGCCCACATCTTCGTAGAAATATATTGTTCTGCTTTATTCACTAATGCAACTCTGTATAACATTGTGGGATACAGTTTGCATGAAAGATGCTATAAAAATAAAGCTGTGTTGTAGAAATTCACATTTTAAGCTAGAAAATTAAAGAAAAATTACCATAGTATGCAGGCAGGATCTGTGGCATTTCTTACATTTAGTTTTATTGCACTGTCATGAACATCATTCCTTCAACAAGAAGATTTAAACATTTATTTTATTTCTGTGCATTGCTCTTTGGATGAAAGTGCACATATCCATGAGTAACACTGATACTCATGAAGAGGATATTCTTGCCATGTACATTCCTCATTAATCAGGTGATTAATTAGGAAGAGAAACATATCCACTTGTAAAAAGAAAAGGAGTACTTGTGGCACCTTAGAGACTAACCAATTTATTTGAGCATGAGCTTTCGTGATGCTCTTCATCGGATGCATGAGCTGTAGCTCACGAAAGCTCATGCTCAAATAAATTGGTTAGTCTCTAAGGTGCCACAAGTACTCCTTTTCTTTTTGCGAATACAGACTAACACGGCTGCTACTCTGAAACATATCCACTTGTTTTATTTTGTTCAACTATTCAAAGTTGTGTGTATATGGGATGCAGACACAGGGTAGTGCATATGTCAACCAGACTCCAATAGCCAAACTTGGCAAGGAGAGTGGTTCTTCTGGGACAAAACTTCTGTACATCTTCAAGAATGAGGGCCAATAGTTGTAATGTTCAAAATGGAGGTAAGGCTATTGTATCTGATATAATTGTCCTGGCAATCACAATAACTGAGGCTACTGAAGAGCTACCTCTACCCTGCAGGAAGTATCCTTTAAGTTCCTGAGAGTTTAGACCTGACGGTTAAACCATTAATCCATCTTTAAGAAAAGGATTGATGATTTTCCATGGACAAAGCCTAGATACATAACAAAAGACTGAGAATAATAAGGGCCAACTCCTGACATTTGCTGATGATTGCAGCTCTCCTTGATTTCAAGAGGTACTGTGGATTCTGGACACCATTCTGGATGGGGCCACATCAGGGTTGATAGAAGACAACTTGACCATGAAGGGACCTCCTAGAACAGCAAATATGGCTTCAACATTAAGCACTCTGAAAATGAGATGGATACACACTAGAGAGCCAGGTTCTCTGCTTCTTTGCACCTTGGTTAGCCGTTGGCACTGGTGCAAAGTGGGTGTAAAAGAACCCAAGATGGGGAATTTCTGCTGCAGACCAAAACTGGTGTAAATTGTGTTTTTGTTGTTCTTGAAAAAACTCCAGGCCTCTGACACAAGCATTGTTTTTAACTCTGTACACCATTCTCCACACGACAGGCAAATGTCAGGGAGTGACACTGACCCTCAACAGAATACATCTCACATTTACATGCCTAGTATAGCAGGAACAATTCCATTTAAGTATATATATTAACCCATGTTTTGAATGTGTGACCTACAGAGAGAAGGGCAGTGCATCTCTTGCCCAGATTCTAACACAGCACTGCATGAAGACCTTTGACCTCTGGGACAGAACTTGTGTACATCTTAAACAATGGGAAGCAACAGTTGTAATGTTCCCAAAGCTCTAATTTTCCCCCATCTGCTGTCAGTTTCCTGGCATTCCTAAGAGGCGAGGCAGTTGTTGGCTTTTGGGTAAATTCATTGTGGCAGTCAAAAAAGCCTGAACTCAGATGATAAGATCTTGACCATTCTGGGAATCTCCAGGTTTTGCTTCTTGTGCACAGCAATGCTAAGGGTTTTTTTTATATGGCATTCTCTGCTAGCTTCTATCCTAGGAACAAAGCATAGCGAGCATTCACAGCTGTCAGCTGATTTTCAGGGTCTCCCATCCTCAGGTTGGTGGCCTGTTTATATGTCATTTACCATGTCAGAATTGGAGATTTCAGCCCCCTTTCTTCATCCACCTACACCTGAGAATCTCCAAGCTGATAGCCTGGTGGTGCCTTATGCCTGTGTTTTTATCCTTAGTCAACAGCATCCCTTTCTTCTGTGACATCTACAAAATGCAATGTAATTATTCTGTTCCCAGTCTCTCCAAAAAGAACACTATGAAAGACTTGATCTTGGAGACAGATTTGTTTTTCTTTTCCGTGGCACTGGATTTCCTGTGGCTTTTGCCGCATTCATCATTTCTCCCCTCCTCCTCGTTTTCTCTCGGGAGTCACACCTGGCACATGCAAAACAGGTAAGCCAGTTTCAGGAGCCACGGCACAAAGGCCCACATTCAAGAAGTGAAAGGCATAATGTCTTTTTGTAATGGGGTGTGGACCCCACACTGGCCCTGCAAGAGATGGGTTAAGTCAGGAGGGCCCAATCAGCTAATTAGGCTGCAAACAGGGGAGCTTTAGGCTGGAGGCAACTAACTAGAGAGAAGCTCACCTGCAAGAGACAGGCAGGGCTGCCACAAAATACCAGGAAACTGGAAGTAGAAGGGGCAACAGGGGGAAAGATGCAGTCGCTCCCTGCGGAAAAGGAGGAGTGTTTGGGTTGAGTTATTCCCAGGGAGGAGGGAGACTGGCAAATCCAAAGGAGTGCGGAAGGCCAAGAAGTATGGAAGCAGCTCAGGGAAAGGCAGCAAGGTGCAGGGAATGGATCTTAGCTGCTGTGTAGAGGGTCCTTGAGCTGGAACCCAGAGTAGAGGGTGGGCCCATGTCCCCTGCCAGCCACAGTGGGAGTGGCACTGTGAGGCAGTGAAGCAGAAGACTGCCTGAGATGGCTGGAGAGCAGGAACCTAAGGGGAAACCACACTAGTGACCTGGTGTGACGTTATGAGTGTAATAGGTTTCAGAGTAACAGCCGTGTTAGTCTGTATTTGCAAAAAGAAAAGGAGTACTTGTGGCACCTTAGAGACTAACCAATTTATTTGAGCATGAGCTTTCGTGAGCTACAGCTCACTTCATCGGATGCATACTGTGGAAACTGCAGAAGACATTATATACACAGAGACCATGAATGTAATATAATATCTCATTGAAAGGTGACATAAGGTCAGAAAGAGTTAATTAACTCACATACTGACCTGACCCATGGAAGAACTTTAAAGACTTGTTAGAAAGATATGTAAATGAATAGAGTTTTGAAATGCAAGCCTACATTGTTAGAGATAGAAGGGTAGATGTTTGCTCAGGTCTTGTGATTTAAGCAAACAAGTCTTGATTCAAAGATCAAAAAAGGAATATTAATATTTAGGAAGACTCTTGAGTGAAATAGTATTATTGTCTATATGTCTCTTTGAAGGTTGTGGTAACCTGTATCTGAACTGTTTAATGGATAAATTACCCTATGCTAATTGCCATGATGTTTAGGAGAAGGAAAGTTAAGCCTATCATTTTCTCTGGCCAAAAGGCTGCTAGAAATGTATAAAAACCCTGGGACACGATTCTTCTTCATCTCAGATCTGCTTTGGGTTTCAAGAAGGGGAAACCCTGAGCCATAAGGATTGAGATCCCCAGTCACTGACTGGAGTCATCCTGACTATGGACATTGGACTATAACCTGTGGACTATTTCTAAAAAGACTTTTGGCAACTACAGACTCCTCTCTGCTATGTATCTGAACCTCAAGAACTGAATTCAAGTCTGTCTGTATATTGATCTTTTAACCAACACTCTTTTCTTTTTAAATAAATTTTAGTTTAGTTAATAAGAATTGGCTATAAGAGTGTATTTTGGGTAAAATCTAAGTTATCATTTAACTTGGGTCCGGGGCTTGGTCCTTTGGGATCAGGAGAACCTTTTCTTGTATATGATAAGATTTTCAGTAATCATTATCCTATCTGACACGTGTGTCTGGATGGAGGCCTGAGGCTGGGGACTTTAAGGGAACTGCATTATTTGGACTTCTGAGTAACCAGGGAGGTGCCATAGAAGCTGTTTTGTGCTGGGTTGTTAAACCTAAGTATTGGAATATCCACCAGCGTTTGAGGTTTGTCTGCCCCATTCTTGTTTGCAGTTCACCCTGATTGAGTGACCTCAGCTGGCTCCCATGGGCCGCATCGTCACACCTGACCAGAGGGCTGAGTCAGGGAGAGAACACTAAAAAGAAAAGGAGTACTTGTGGCACCTTAGAGACTAACCAATTTATTTGAGCATGAGCTTTCGTGAGCTACAGTTCACTTCATCAGATGCATACCGTGGAAACTGCAGCAGACTTTATATATACACAGAGAATATGAAACAATACCTCCTCCCACCCCACTGTCCTGCTGGTAATAGCTTATCTAAAGTGATCATCAGGTGGGCCATTTCCAGCACAAATCCAGGTTTTCTCACCCTCCACCCCCCCCCCCCACACACAAATTCACTCTCCTGCTGGTGCTAGCCCATCCAAAGTGACAACTCTTTACATAATCAAGTCGGGCTATTTCCTGCATAAATCCAGGTTTTCTCACATCCCCCCCACCCCCATACACACACAAACTCACTCTCCTGCTGGTAATAGCTCATCTAAACTGACCACTCTCCAAGTTTAAATCCAAGTTAAACCAGAACATCGGGGGGGGGGGGGGGTAGGAAAAAACAAGAGGAAACAGGCTACCTTGCATAATGACTTAGCCACTCCCAGTCTCTATTTAAGCCTAAATTAATAGTATCCAATTTGCAAATGAATTCCAATTCAGCAGTTTCTCGCTGGAGTCTGGATTTGAAGTTTTTTTGTTTTAAGATAGCGACCTTCATGTCTGTGATTGCGTGACCAGAGAGATTGAAGTGTTCTCCGACTGGTTTATGAATGTTATAATTCTTGACATCTGATTTGTGTCCATTTATTCTTTTACGTAGAGACTGTCCAGTTTGACCAATGTACATGGCAGAGGGGCATTGCTGGCACATGATGGCATATATCACATTGGTGGATGTGCAGGTGAACGAGCCTCTGATAGTGTGGCTGATGTTATTAGGCCCTGTGATGGTGTCCCCTGAATAGATATGTGGGCACAATTGGCAACGGGCTTTGTTGCAAGGATAAGTTCCTGGGTTAGTGGTTCTGTTGTGTGGTATGTGGTTGTTGGTGAGTATTTGCTTCAGGTTGCAGGGCTGTCTGTAGGCAAGGACTGGCCTGTCTAGGTCACCACAGAACTGTATCATGTTCGTGGGGGTGGAGGGGCAGAAGCAGAGGCCCCGAGATAGAACAGCTGCTTCTGCTGGGCTGAGAGTATAGTTGGATAGCTATTACCAGCAGGACAGTGGGGTGGGAGGAGGTATTGTTTCATATTCTCTGTGTATATATAAAGTCTGCTGCAGTTTCCACGGTATGCATCTGATGAAGTGAGCTGTAGCTCACGAAAGCTCATGCTCAAATAAATTGGTTAGTCTCTAAGGTGCCACAAGTACTCCTTTTCTTTTTGCGAATACAGACTAACACGGCTGTTACTCTGAAACCGGAGAGAACACTGCGGTTCTTGAGAGCAAGAGAGGGAGCAGAGGACAAACTGATGGGCTGTGAATTGGAAAGTAAATTTCTCTTTTAAAATATGTATTTAATCAAAAATCTAGCCCTGGGTTTTCCTCTCACACCAGTGAAATGTAGCTGGTTCTCAGGACTTGCATGAAAACTGCCTGGGGTCTGCTTCAGCTGCCTGGCTGTCTCACGAAACTGGAGCTGAAGCTGCAGTTGCTGTTGTCACCCCATACTCCAGCTTGAGAGGGTGGATGTTACATCACCAGAGAAGGCCTTGGCACCCATCAGCTCCATTATCTGTCCTTAATCAGCAGCATGTGATCTAGCCGAAAGGGTTTTATTTTTAAAAACATTTTGTTTCAGAATTGTTTTTGCCATCGTAACATGTTTTATTTGTCAGAAGTCTCCTGGATGTTACATGATATGTTACTTTGCTTCATAACTCATGTTAATGTGCTTTGACTATTAATAATGGTGTCGTTTATTACAAATTTTACTCCGGTAAACTGAATTAAATATGGAGTGCCTTGCTTTCATTTACACTAAGTCCCCTTTACACCACTCTGGAGTGGAAAGGGCCCTTAGTGTACCTGAAAATCAGATCAGAAAGTTTGGCAGCTAGTTTCACAACATGGAACCTGCACTATTGGAACAGACCGGCGGTCTGCGACAGCCAGATACATATCCTCCCTTTAGTAGTGGTATCACTGGCTCTTCATCTCATTTTGGGATACAATTTAGGTGAAATCAGCTATTCCAAATATAGTTGTATTTGGATCTCTGAGATCTAACTGAGCTAGTAAAGTCATAGAAATTTTTTTGCTCAGATCTCAGTTAGAATCATGGCCCATTTCCAGCAGCTAGTGTAAATTGACATAACTCCATTGAAGTCAACACTAACTTTCACCAGCTGAGCATCTGACCTCCTGTTCTAGAAGAGCTTACATAAAATTTGCATGTGCATAATTTGCATGTGCAGTTACCACAGTTCCACAAGGAAACACAAATGGTCAACAAACCAAACATACAAATGGCCCGTTCGGTCAGTTGAGTGTGGAAAACACAAGTGTAATTCTAAATTATAGCTTTTAACAGCATAAAAGATTTGTATTCCACAAGGTGAGAAACAGTGAAAACTTTCAACATTACATAATAGTATACTGACTTGACAGATCTGGCTAAATTTGAATGGGTACATTTTCATTTGACTATTAAGCAGGAAAAAAATTAAGCACATGTGCTCTGATTTCATAGTTACATGTAGTTAGTGCAATGGTGGTGGTGTACATGTTTCTTGAACATATTATTTTTGCCTGCAATTAGAAGTAGAACTGTTTTTATTCTGAATAAAGAATTTCTTTGATTTATCCCTTCTTTTGCAAATTATTTGTGAACTAATCCTGATTTCTACCAGAGTAACTGTTATTTCTAATTAACCAGTTAGCTTGGATGAACAGTGTTCTGCCAAAGGGCTGTTCACTTTACCTATTGAGTGGTCATGCTGTGCAATTCGTCACCTAAGTCACACTGTGTTCCTTCAGCTTCCTCAATGGATGTCTGAGGCTTTTAAAAAATAAAACTAGCAAATGGTGAAGAGTGAATAACAAGTAGTCCTCTTTATGCACGAATACCCCCTTTTTGCATGTGAATATGGGTAGTCATATGACGAACAACCAATCCCCCCAAATATCTGTGGGAACACAATCCCAGTGGCATGAATGTTTGTGAAGAGTGAAGGAAAAGAGGCCTGGCCACCCATTCAGAATTCAAAGACTTGCTCGTGAGAAGAAGCCTTACAGATGCAATGATAAATGCCTGAGGTACTTATGAGACAATAGAGCCAGTTGGAACATTTTCCACAAAATGATTTTTCATTGGAAATTTGGAAAGACGCGAAACTTCGACATCTCAAAAGTCTTTGCAGAATTGAATTGTGACTCTTTGGCCAGCTCCGTACATGAGTTAACTCTCCCTTCTACCTTCCAAGGCAGCAGCTGGGATTTCTTGGGTTTAGACCCAGAAAGCTGCAACCCCAGGGGTGGCAGGTCTGTAGAAATGTTGGTGGTGCCCAGAACCCGCCCCCCCCCCAAACTCTGCCCCCACCTGCCTAAGGCTCTGGAAGGGAGTTTGGGTGCTTGGTGTAGGCTCTGGGCTGGGACAGGGGGCGGGGGTGCAGGAAGGGCTGAGGGGGGCAGGCTCTGGAAGGGAGTTTGGGTGGGGGAGGGGGTCTGGGGTGCAGGCTCTGGGATGGAGTTTGGGTGCTGGGTGTAGGCTCCGGGCTGGGGCAGGGGGTGCAGGAGGGGATGAGGGGTGCAGGCTCTGGGATGGAGTTTAGGTGTAGGCTCTGGGCTAGGGCAAGGGGTGGGGGCGCAGGAGAGGGTGAGGGGGGCAGGCTCGGGGGTGGGGGTGTAGGAGGGGGTGAGGGGGGCAGGCTCTGAGGGGGAGTTTGGGGGTGGCGGGGGTGCAGGTTCTGGGTGGGAGTTTGGGGATAGGAAGCGGTGAGGGCTGTGGATGAGAGGTTTGGGGTGTGGGAGGGGGCTCACGGCTGGGGCAGAGGATTAGGGTGCGGGGGGATGAGGGCTCTGGGGCGTTGGAGAGGCTCAGGGCTCGGGCGGAAGGGCAGGGTACGGGCAACCCGCCCTGCCATGAGTGCCAGGGGTGCCCTAGGACCCTGCGGCAGCCGGCAGAGTCAGCGTGAGCTGCAGGCGCCGGGGCCAGGGGAGGCGAGCGGGGGCAGCAAGTGGGGGCCGGGGGAGGTGGGGGGCGGCGGCGGCAGGCGGGGCCGGGGGAGAGACCCAGCCCCGGACACTGGTGGAGCCGGGCCCTGAATACTGCTGGAGCCCGGGCACCACGAGTGACAGAACTCGCCGCCCCTGGCTGGAACGGGTCTGTGCAACTTGTACTGCCCGGAGTGTCCTGTTGTGTTGGAAAAGAAACATCCCCCCGCCCCCGCCAGTCCTGCTCGTCACTCGCAGGGAAAGCGGGTAGCAGTGACAGCAGCAAGCGACGAAAGCCGGTTAGGCTGTTGTCTATTTCTCCCAGGGTAGAGCTGTAGCTCGTCAGCCCAGACGTGGGAACTGGGCATGTGTCTCCCCTGCAATGCAGCCCCCACAGCTGGCCTGTGTCAGCTGATGCGGGCTCAAGCTGCGGGGCTATAAAATTGCAAGGCAGAGAGTTGGACTCAGGGAGGAAACCGGGCTTTGGGACGCTCCCTCTCTCGGGAGCCCAGACTGTGGGCTCCATCCTGAGCCTGGACGTCTACATTGCAATGTAATTGCCCTGCAAGCCCGCGTCAGCTGACACAGGCAAGCCGCGGGTGTTTTATTGCAGTGGAGACATACCCAGAGTTTTCCGAAGAGCTCAGCTCCCCTGTAAGCACCTCTGTGAAGCGGCCAGATTTTCATAAGGGCTTGGTACCCAGAAGCTCCTGTTTATTCTTTCTTGAAAATCTGGCCACTTCATTTCAGAGCTTAAGTAGTCATTGAACATTTAAAATCCAAGCCACTTATTTATGTGCCTTAAGGGGAGCTCCTGGGTGCTTAGCTCTTTTGGAGACCTGGACCTATAGCCAGAACACTTTGAAAATTTGGAAAATGAGGAAGTGCTGTTCAGAGGCAGCAAGCCACTTAAGATAATTGGCTCTGTGGATTCACTGAAATCAACAAAGTTCTTTCCATTTGCTCACGCTGGTCCAGAAGCCCAGCAGAAAGCCTAAGCACATTTATATGCCACTTAAACCCCTAGGGCTTACATAGGGTTTAGGTTGAAATGCAAGTCGTGCATAGGCCATTGCGTAGGCCCTCTGTACAGGAGTGAATTTCACCTTCACTGGCTTCCACTTCATTTACTGCGGCTGGTTGCAGAAGTCCGTCAATACTCACATTTCTAAGAACTTCACGCAGTCTTTGTGTCCGTAGATTTCTGCAATCCTTTTCGGAGTGTCCCCATAGAGATCTGCTGTATCGAGGGCGGCATGCAAAAAATGAAGAGTCCTTAGAACGCCCAGTCTTCCTGACTCAGCCGCAAAATGAGCTGGAGTCCAACCCACGTCAGTTCTCAAGCAAAGGCGAGCGCCATGCTGCACAAGTAGCTTTACCATCTCTGATTGTCCTTGTAGAGATGCAGAAAACACAGGGAGAAAAAAAAATGGTTCAAAGGTGAAACATTCAAGATGTTCTATATGGCAGCGTAAAGAATCTGTGTCCACGGACAACAAGCGCTGCAGTGACGTCACCAGCTAAACGGCACATACTTAGGAACTCCGGTTCCAACACACACAAGCCTCTACCACTTGTGCCGATGCTCTGCTAGCTGAACTAGTGTTGGGTCTTTTACCCTCTGTAGACAGAAAATAGCCACAATCAGCTGATTAGGTCTGACCTTCCATCCAGACAATGGTACTGAGGTTCATAGCCACACATATGGTATACGGTATATTACATACTCCCTCTAGTTAGGCAGCGCTTGACCTCAAGCATCTGGGCTACAGGAATTCAAATCTCAGCAGCTGGACGCCATCCGCTATGAATGCGGTGCCAAGTGTACGAGCTTCAGCTGGGGACCAAGATGGCCATGGGTTATGGCTGTGGATTGGTCACAGCCGCGTTTCCAGCACTTGCAAATCTGTGTCCTGTGATTTTCTTTTTAGGGTAGGGATATTTTTTTAAAATCATTAGGGACTCACATGAGCATAATTAAAATCTATATGTTTAATAACTTTTTTAAAATAACCAGATCCCCAGTCTCTTTGTCCAGACCTCATGGCCTGGGAGATGGATAAGCCAATCAGGGTACAAAAAAAGACCCTCAGCAAAGAGTGTCAGGGTATCTCTACACACGGATAAACGAACCATGGCACAGCCGTGGCTGGCCTGGGTCAACTGTGAGGCTAAAAATAGCAGTGGAGACATTCAGATTTGGGCTGGAGCTTGGGCTCTGGAACCCAGCAAGGAGGGAGGGTCTTGGAGTCCATGCTCCAGACCAAGTCCAACCAGCTGCACTGCTCTGTTTAACATCACAGCACAAGTCCCAGCACCCTGAGCCAGTTGATCTCAGCTCTGAGATTCGCTGACACATTTTTTTCCTGCTGTGTAAACATACCCTTTGAGACTTACCTTCTGAAAGAAAAGGAGTACTTCTTTTTGCGAATACAGACTAACACAACTGTTACTCTGAAAGGGTTCAGATGAAGTGAGCTGTAGCTCATGAAAGCTTATGCTCAAATAAATTGGTTAGTCTCTAAGGTGCCACAAGTACTCCTTTTCTTGTTACTCTGAAACCTTCTGAAAGGACGCCCACATTCTATGGCCTTACCTGGAGATACATACACGGTTTTGATCAGCTCAGTATAACAAACACAGCAGCCCAGATAAGTAAAACACCAAGTTCAGAATTCACCCATAATAGCCCTTAGATACCACCTCTGTGCCATGTTAACTTGCCTCCCAGTCGGGACCCTGCTCAACTGCAGAATATTTAACCACAGACCACAGTATTGTAGTCATTAACTTTTTATATTTCACTGAGCCTTCATCCATCCCAGGTGACATTCGTCAATCACAGAAGAAACTACATCTCTCAGCAATATCCTCTGCAGCTGTGATCATGGGAAGAAAGAAACTGCAGAGAGTTTCACTCAATTCCTAGAATTCCCTAAAGGCAGACCAGAAAGCAGTGCAGAGAGATGCTACACAAAGACAGACAAGCGAGAGGAAGAGAAAAAAGCGAAATGGAGAGGAGACAGGGCACTGAAAGGCAATGAGGAAGGCAAAAAGACATTGGAGACAGGTTATGGGGGACAGAAGTGCAAGTCTGCGAAGCCTACCAAATATGGATCTAGCATAGAGATAAATACTTAGGTCCTTATTCGTTATACCATTGATTCCAAAGGGAGTTTTGCCAGACTGAAGGCTGAGTAAGAACAGAGTAAAGACCTCAGAATTTGACTCACAGATTTTTTTAGTTTGGGGAGGGAGGCTTGGGTAGGAGTTGGAAAGATATAGATTTTTCTGTGCAAAAACCTGTCCTTCCAGCTTGTTCTCAGCTTTGTATTCCATCCACGCTTCACGCTTACACATGATTTATTTCCCTGAAATGCTGAGGGAGAGGGAGAAAACCTGGCTGAGTTCGGACATTAATACAAAGCACAGTCCTGGTCTGCACAGAGTGTGAAACTATTCATCCAGGTCAGTACAAAATATTGAGGGAAAATGTACATTTGATATTTATATTTAATGCTTTGAAGAGCTGGATGTATGGTGTTTAGATTTTGTGTGCTGGTTGCAGGGGGTTAGCATTGTGTATACTATTGTGACACAATACAATACACAATGGCTCGGAGCCACTATTGAAGTCAATGGAGCTATGCCAGTTTACATTAGCTGAGAACCAGCCCAATACCAATAACTTAACTCATACCTTTTATACCCAACTATCATTAACCTACCACAGTGTGATATATGGCTTTGTTTCCCACCCTTCATTTAACCTTTCATCACTTGTCCTCCTCAGCCACCCCCAATCCTAGGGTTTCATATCATCACATCTTCTAATTTAGGTCCCAATCCTGCAGTGTACTGAGCACCCCCGGCAAGGTGCTGAGTGCCCTCATTCCCCGCTGAAGTTAATGGGAGTTGCGGGCACTAGGTAACTGCAGGAGATGCTCAGCAACTTGCAGGATCCAGCCCTTAGAATGTAAGTGTAACGCTAATGCTCCAGGGTGGGTCGTCAGCAGCAGGGATCAGACCTCTGGATCTCAATACATAAGGATCTACTGCCTGAGCTAAAAGACCCAGCTCTCGGAGCCAAGGAGGTAGCAGTAGAGCTTATCAGTCTCTAGCTGCTCTAGCCACCACTAGAGAGGAACAGAGTCCCACGTGGAGTAGGCATTGCTTACATAAACTAGAGAAAAGGAGTACTTGTGGCACCTTAGAGACTAATCAATTTCTAAGGTGCCACAAGTACTCCTTTTCTTTTTGCGAATACAGACTAACACGGCTGCTACTCTGAAACCTGTCATAAACTAGAGACCACACTGATGGATGCCACTGCCAGCTGGCACTCTCTGCACATCACTTGTAAGGCTCTTAGGCAGGTAATTAGGGAGTTACCAGCAGAGAGAAAACTCATTACATGTCTTACAAAGGGATATCACCCGAACTTGTCACTGCTTTTGTGCAGCGTATTTTTAGTGCACACCAATTAATGTACGTTTAATCTTATCACCCCTTGCATAAGTCTTTGTTAGCACTTCCCCAAGCTTCCTAACTTTTATAAGGGCCAAGGGTCACTGATCCAAGGGCCACTGAAGTCAAGGGAAGCCTTTTACCTGGATTTCAAAGGGCTTTAGATCAGGCTCATAGCTCCCGTAATAAGATAATTATTTATTCTGAATGTGTGGTATTTCATTTCATCCCTTCTGGGAACAACATCTCAGGGGAAAGTCCAGCGGCAATGAAAAATGAATTAATAATGATTGAAACAACAAAAGTCACCGAATAAGATAAGAATTTCTTTGTCTTTCTATAGGATCCTCAAGGATCTCAAAGCTCTTTACAAATGTTAATGCATTATAATGCGGCTCTACCCCAAAGGATGGCAAAGTGATTCAAATGGTAGTGAGATGGTCTGTTTCTTGTGTCTCAGTGCCCTACAGACCACATGTACTCTGTGAATAAAACGTGTTCAGGATTTAAGCCAGGGGTGGGCAAACTTTTTGGCCCGAGGGCCACATCGGGGTTGCAAAACTGTACGGAGGGCCGGGTAGGGAAGGCTGTGCCTCCCCAAACAGCCTGGCCCCCACCCCTATCCACCCCCTCCCACCTCCCACCCCCTGACTGCCCTCATCAGAACCCCTGACCCATACAATCCCCCGCTGATCCTTGTCTCCTGACCACCCCCTCCTGGGACCTCCCGCCCCTAACTGCCCCCCTGGGACCTCCCCCTTATCCAACCCTCCCTACTCCCTGACTGCCCTACCCCCTGTCCACAGGCCCACCCTCACAGGCCCTCCAGGACTCCCATGCCTATCCAACCCCCCCTGTTCCTCAACCCCTGACCGTCCCCCGCAGAATCCCCAACCCATCCAACCCCCACCCCCCTGCTCCCTGTCCCCTGACTGTCCCCAGGACTCCCTGCCCCTTATCCAAACGCCCCCCACCCCCCGGCTCCCTTACCATGCTGCTCAGAGTGGCAGGAGGTCACAGCCCCTCCGCCCAGCTGGAGCGAGAGAGCTGCCAACACGGCAGCTTCGCTGTGGGGCAGGACGGTCCTATGGGCCGGATGTGGCCTGCGGGTTGTAGTTTGCCCACCTCTGGTTTAAGCCAATCTCTAACTATTAGAGATCAGCATGAGACAGATGTGGGGGGCAGATTATCCCACATCTGCCTACTGAGAGGTTCTTTCACTTTCCTCTGAAGCATCTGGTACGGGTCACTGTCAGAGACAGAATACTGGACTAGATGGACTTTGGGTCTAATCCTGTCTGGTGATTTCAGTTCCTGTGCAAGTAAAAAGATGTTTGTTTCCCCCCTCACTAATTGCCCTGGAAATTCAACCTGGAATCTGAGGGTCAAGCTGGATTCTTTCTTTCTCATGCACTATCACCTGTTATAAAGATTCTGCAGGCTAAATTAAGCTCTCAGTGACCCCCATACAAACCATTTTCTTTAAAATTAAGTCCCTTGTTACATCCGCACAGTTCCACCTACTGCCTTCTAGGGGTCGGACCTGGTTGGACCTTAATAAATAGTTCTGATGCTAAAACACCAAACGTCAGCTGCAGGCAGGATCTGGTCCTGCATTGCTGATTTGAAAGATTCAACACTAAAAATAAAGGCGGGAGGATTTTAAACCACTGTGTAGTTACCGTGCTCAATCTGTTTTTCCTAAATGCCAATTGTGTCTACACATTGATTCCCCCTTCACACAGGTGTAAATCAGGAATAATTCCACTCAAGTCAATGCAACTATTCCAGTGTTTCAGAGTAACAGCCGGGTTAGTCTGTATTCGCAAAAAGAAAAGGAGTACTAGTGGCACCTTAGAGACTAACCAATTTATTTGAGCATAAGCTTATGCTCAAATAAATTGGTTAGTCTCTAAGGTGCCACTAGTACTCCTTTTCTTATTCCAGTGTGAAATCAAAGTGATGAAAGAAATAGGGCCCTTATATATACACACAGTGTGTAAAAATTACACATTATCCCTTTAAAATAATCAAACTTCATATAAACAAGAAATGATCATTTGGGGTCCAATCCCACATGTTCTTTAAACAGGCAAAATTCCCTTTTAATTCAATATTTTGTCTGTTTGGGCAAGGACAGCAGAATCAGAACCTCTCAGTGTAATTATCGGTATGCTGCATAACCCCATTAACAGCCTGCACAGCAGTGGTGCTGGAACAATTTGTATAGTGGGGGTGCAGAGAGTCATTGAACCAAACTGTAAACCCTGTATATGATGGAAACTACTTCAAGCCAGGGGGTGCGGCAGCACACCCAGCATCCCTAGTTCCAGCACCTCTCCTGCATAGTGTAATATAATAATTAGCTGCACTCTCTTATATAACGTCAATGTTAGCATGTACATGGGCTACTGAGTACAGGGCCTCCTTACCTTTAGCAGCAGCCCAGTGCAGTGGTGTCCTGTCATTCCAATCCATATCTTTGTAATTCACATCAAAAAGCCCTTTTTTCAGAAGCTTATTCACTAAATCGTAATCGCCCAGAGCTACAGCTTCATGAAGCTCTGTCATGTTGCACAGTTCTGACAACCCCTAGTACAAGAACAACAAAACAACAACTTCATGCACATGCTTTATATAGCAGTTTTCAGTAACTGGCTCAGAAAAGCCTCAACCCAAGAGACAATTTGAATGGATTAGGCAGTGTCCACACTGAAAATTCAGACATTAACCATCTGTATCAAAATTCTATCGAAGGCCAGAACAAGAAAGGCAGAGAGACAAAAAGAAAGAAAGAAAATTAACATCCACAGTTAACTGAACCTAAACCAATCACTGATTGCAGTCTGCTGGTGATGTTTGCTAGGTATTTAGTCTCCAAGTTCAGGGAAATCTGTTACAAAGTGTGACTCAGTAAATAAAGAAAACCACAGATAAAATCATAGTGCATTTCTCAAAGATGTTGCTGAAGATCTGCCAGCTCACAACACACAGTTGGCCTCCAAGTCTGTTGTTACTTATTTACCATGGAAACTGGCTCCTCCCTTGTTAAAGGTGCAGGTTTATTATATAGATTTTTTTTTTTAAAGAAAAGACGTTACTGATCAGATATTTCCCATGTTATTCTGGGCAGATCTTGACACACCACACTGCTTATAAAAAAACATAATGCTGTTCTCCCCCAGGGGCATGCTCTGCATGCACAGACACCGTCCTATGAATCCAGCTGGGTGTGAGGCCCGTGCAATGGGTCCCCATTGTGTTAGGTGATCACTTAGTGGCTGCTTTGCTGACAAATTATGTGCATCCCCAGAAAACAAAACGAGCTCTTCTAGGAACACAGGGTATTTCCTCCAGTGATGTACCCAGCTGGAAGGATCATTGCTAAGGAAAGCTCTCCCTTCTTCCAAGTGCAGAATGTAGTACTCATCTCTTACCAACCAGGGAAGCTAGAAGCCAGGCTGGGGATATTGATGTAGGTTTTAATATAATAGATGCACAGGGTCTACAAGCATAGCCCAAGCTGAAGGGGTAAAGGGATCATCTCCTTTAATGCAAAGGGTGACATTCACCCTCCTAACACAAAGCCTCAAGAGGGAGAAGAGCCAGATGAGCTGAGTGAGGCAGCTAGTCCAGGCAGGCACAGAAAGAACACGGGCTGGACAGCTCAGATACAATGTGTATCCACCCCCCGCACCACCTCCCCCCTTCCACACACACACTTCACAGAGCAAAGCCAGTGGGGAGGAAACCAGTCAGTGGGACAGACCAAGGCAGCTGGGGCATGAGATAACAGGGGGATGTAAATTGCAAAGTGGGAGATGAGTTGTCAGGGGATCTCTGGCATCAGCCTGAGAAAGAATTGTTGGCCAAAAGGTCCAATTCACTCAGCACTGTTGTACATGGACCACCCCACTGCTGGAAGGGAGCACACACGCTCCTCCACAGCCACAGAAGGATTGGTTCCATGGTCAGAGAACAGACAGAAGGGGCTAATTAGCAGGCCCTTTCAGAGGTCCAGAGAGGCCTGGGCCACTTCCAGCTTTTGAGGCCCCTAGCCATAATAAAAATTTAAAAATGACAACACATGAAAACAAAATAAGGCGCCAAAAAAAGAGTGAGACATAATTTGAATATTTTTTTATTTAACAAATGCTTTTCTAGCTTTTTTCTGTGCAAATGCACTAATTATTGAGGGAAAAGCTAGGTTTTGTGCAGTGCCACAGTGGATATTAAGCATGGCGAGCCCATTCAAACGCTCTTGTCCGACAGTTGGACGGTGATAGTTCTTTACCTGCCTCAACATGTTGAAGGTGCATTCAACTCAAGCCACTGATGCAGGCAAACTGACAAAAATATGCAATACAATTGTGATATTAGGAAACACCCCAGAGAGTCCAAGTTCAAATATTTCTTGAAGCAATTCCTTTATCTTGCAATCCAATTTAAAGTTCATGGAATATATTCGTCTAAGGAAGATGACCTCATCACTGAGATCTTTTGAGATTTCTTTGTTGTTGCTGAAATTGTTCAGCTGCAGAAAGTAGATCTTCATTATCAGTCTGTTGAACTGCCAAAGAAGGGTACAAATTAGTTGCAGTGACTCAAACTGACGTGTAAGACCTGATTGAATAGAGTCAATGATGACAAGGAAGACATTGACCCTATAATGCTGCTTGGCATCGGATTTGGTATGTAAGTTGTGATTGGTGGAGAACTCAGATGAAATGGCAATATTCTGTGCTACTAATTTGGACTCAGTCAGGATCGCATCCCATTGTCATGAATCTGTTGAATCTCATTGATAAGACTTTCAATGTTATCCCTCTCAACATCAAGAGTAGCATTGCATGCTTCAATTACTAGATTAGTTTGGTGGATCATTGTAAGTAGCTTCATCCACAAAGATGACATCAGAATGCAGTCTCATTTGGACATGTGCTTCTGAATAGATTGAAGTTCAGTTTGAGCCTGTGCAGTGAGATTGAGAGTTTCAAGCTCATTTAAAGCCTTTCTCACTGAATTCAAATGCTGTGCAACTGGTTGAACACCATTAATCCGTGCAGACCATCTAATTTTGGACATCCCATGCAGTGAAACAGGAGGATATTGCTTCAGAATTTCCCACCTTTGTGGATGGCTACTGGAGAGATTGTACATTTGCTGAACAGTTCCAAAGTAAGTAATTGCCTCCTTGCATGATTGAGCACAGTCAATACCTACAAGGTTTAGTGTGTGGTTTCCACAGCTGGAGAAAATACAGTCTGAATTATGCTCATGCAGAACTGCTTGTACACCTTCGTACTTCCCAGCCATATTAGATCCACTGTCATAGGCTTGACCAATGCAGACTTGAAAATCTAACTTAAAACCTTCTAGAACTGCTAGTACTGGAGCAGCAGTTTCTTTTACAGTTTTTCTCGTGAAATTATCAAACAAAATAAACCTTTTTTCAATTGAAAATTTTGAGCTGTCTATAATCTTAACATATCAAATAATGATAGTAGTCTGTTCCTTGTGAGAACAATCTGGAGTGGCATCGACAATTACTGAAAAATACTTGGCATTTCAAATCTCATCAAGAATTGTTGTTTTTTCGAATGACGCAAATAGCTCCATAAACGCATTTTGTATGCATGTGGAGAGATAATGGACTTGCATGCGCTTTTGACTCTCTTGCGATTCTTGAACACGTTTAACATGCTGTGATAAAAGGGGGTCATATTTGCTGAGGAGCTCAACTATGCCCAGAAAGTTTCCATTTGCACAATCACCAATACATTGACTGGAACCAAAGAAAGCCAATCCCCACACAGAAAGAAAAAGGATGACATTCAGGATATGCTCAAGAAGTTTTTTCCAGTTATTAGTTTCTGTAGAGAGTTCAGTCAAGAGTAAATTCTCAACTGAACTTTCAGCTTATGCTGCCCTACTGTCTGATTTCCATGCAACATAGTTTTCTTTCTGTGACGTTGAACTCTCATTTGATGGTATTCGGTCTTTCAACTTCCTCCAACCTCTGTTGATGCTCCATCCTGATTGATGAGAGAGAACTGATTCATTTGCAGCACTTTTGTTCAACATGAAGCAGGGTGCACAGTACAGAGATTGTTTTTCCGTACTCCAGCATAACCAGTCTCCGTACTCTAGCATAACCAGTCTCTAGTCTCTAATGTATTGGTGATCTCACCATTTGGAAGAGTTTTTGTCAGCAGACGAGTAGGGAAAGCATGATTATCAGCATCTCGTGAACTCTTACTTGCAATTTCAAAACAACTAATTTGAAGAAAAGATTGCATTTGGGCAGCATTGCTCTTGTCAATAATTCCAATGTCAGTCACAATCAAACCTGTCGTACTCATGAATTGCTCTTGCTGTGTAAGATCTACATCTTTCTGTTGCTGTTGAGTTTCTTGATTCTACACAGGATCTTCTGCTGCATCTGTTACTGCTGGTACATCTTCTTCTTGACTACTGTCCTCATGTTCAGGTATTGGCACTGAAATATCACCTGTTGCAGTTGCAGAGTTTTCATTATCGGTAGCATTGTTTGTTGGGTAAGGTGTGTTTTCCAGTGGTTTGAGAAATGAAGTTACTGGCTTTGAGCTCTTAGCTGCCGCTTCACTCAGTTGTTTTTGCCGTCTTTTGCTTGTACCACTTTCAAATCTCCTCTTCATAGTGATCTATCTGGCCAATATGTAGCCTATCCACACTTGAAATATTCTGCTGTAAATAAATAGCTTATCTACACTTGAAATCTTCTACTGTAAACATGTAAACAAATGCTGAATGGTACACAAATGCTGAAAAGACTTAAAACAAAGGAATACTAATTAAGAACACAAAATGAAACAGTCAGGTTATTATCGTTATCACTGAATCAAAACTCAAGCACGCAAGGTATAATATAACAGGCTGAGCTGAAGACAAAGGGATGACATATATATAGTGAACACAGATACAGAGAGAGGAATAATGTCCAAAAATTTCAAACATGTGTCCTCATGAAACTCACTGTACAAGATCGTCCTCACAAATTTCAGCTTGAATCTTGGCCTAAAGACTATGAAAGCCTATGATGATGGCCAAGCTACCAAGCTAGGGTTCAACCAACCAACCAACCAACCAGTCACCTCCTTTTAGCTACTATATGAAGATAATAATGAGGAATTCTCAAACATAAATAATTCCTTAGTCAACTAGATGTAAAACTATAAAGACACTAAAATGTAACAATTCTGTATCTTTCAACATGCACATGATCCAGCACCAGCCACTAGTATTGGTTTGTTTATATAATCAGCTTATCTGAGAGGACACATTCATCACGATCTAATCTTGTGCCTTCAGAGCTGATACCTTTTTATTAATATTTATGAACATTTTTAACTCTTTAATAGGACAAAATCTATATCAGTTAACAAAAAAATTATGTCTTTTACCAAAACACATCTCTTATTTGCTTAAATTTGCAGCTCTAAGCTGAGAGAGTGTGTCACATTTTGGTCCAATAGGGATGCGCATAAAAAAAAGTTGCAAAACTTATCAAATGCCAAAAAATTAACAAGTGTCTAAATTTGAGGGCCCCTTTGAGCTTGAGGCCCAGGCCAAATGGCCCGCCTGCCTCCCCCCTCCCCCGCCCCCGATTGGCCCTGCTAATTAGAGAGGCGAGGTGTGTGAGGTAATATCTTATATAGGCTAATGGTCTTTCTGATAACAATCCCTGATATGAGCAGACTTTCACAGCTCAGCCCGAGCTTTGCACCAACTGAAAGGGACAGGGAAAAGGTGACAGGGTAAAACCAAAGTCAACAAGATTAGGCCCCATATCCCCACTTCACCCTTACCCTGTGACCCCCATGGATCATATGGGGGGCTGTGTATTTTGGGAGGGTTCTCAGCTCACTGTCGTGTGCCCCCCCCCAACTGCCAGTGAAGGGTTACCCAGCTGTTCACATTTGGCCAGAGCATCTGGAATCTTAGCTCCCAGCTAAGATGAGGGTGCAGGGGGAAATCAGGCTGGGGGCATCTTGGAGGGTCTCTGGGTCACAACAGGCCATCAAGGTTTACAAATGGGTCCTGAGCTCAAAAAGATTGAGAACCACTTCTTTAATGGCCCTTGCTGTCTTCTGTGTTTCAGAAGCGACCAGAACCTTGTCAGAGCAGTGTGTATTTATATAGCTAGGCTGCGCATGTTGTAGAAAGTGAGTCAACACAGTTATTTGGACTCCACTGTATCCATGTGGCTTCTTTCGTATGATGTCTGATGCCCCAGTTTCCCCATATATAAAATGGGGATAATGATACTGACTGCCTTTGTAAAATACTTTGAGAACTACTGATGAAAAGTGCAAGATAAGATCTAGGTGTTTAGGGTGCATCTAAAAAAAGTCATATGTTGTTGCCATAGGAAGTCACAAAAGTGTCATTATTTCAGGTTTCAGAGTAGCAGCCGTGTTAGTCTGTATCCGCAAAAAGAAAAGGAGCACTTGTGGCACCTTAGCTCACATAAATTTGTTAGTCTCTAAGGTGCCACAAGTCCTCCTTTTCTTTTTATTGGTTTCAGGGTTTCTGCAGCACTGATGTCACATGTATTGTATTCCCCTCCGCCACCTCTCCAACCCTGCGATTGTCCTTGCTGAACCTGTTTCTTGAATAAACACAAGTCTCCAGGGCTGACCTTTTACAGACATTAAATTCTACCATACAAACTATATGCTCTGTTGGATCCAACCCTCAATTAGGACTACAGCTGGTAAGAAAAACAGGGGGGAGTGGAAAGAAAAGGAGTACTTGTGGCACCTTAGAGACTAACCAATTTAGAATCCTGAAAATGTTTACAAACTTCATTCTCGTTTTCAAGCAAAAATGTCTTTTAGATTTCAGCCAGCTTTCTGTGCAGTTCACACCTAGTGATATTCACACATGCGTTGGGCAGCCACATCCTCTCCCACCCTCCAGGGAAGCAGTCTCAGAAATCTGTGAAGTTCACTCTGTCGTGCTCCCGCTCTCCCCTTCTCACATGCCAAAGCCCCTGGCTTGAAGTGGTTTCCATCATATGCAGGGTTTGCAGTTTGGTTCAGTGGTCCAGCACCCCTGCAGCTGAGAGCAGAATTTGGCTCAAAGTCACTCCCACAAGGAGCTTTCAGTGTCAGAGCTAGATCCTACTCATGTATGTGGTACAACACAGGGGTGCTGGGCCTGGAACAATTTGTATGGGGGGAGGGGTGCTGAGCGTCATTGAACCAAACTGTAAATCCTGTATATCAGAGGTTCTCAAACTTTGGTCCGTGGACCACCAGTGGTCGGCGAGCTCCATTCAGGTGGTCCGCGGATAGTTCCCTCTAAGGTGCGCACCTGGGCGGCCACACACGAGAGAATGAAGGGCCACCCACCTAATTAGTGGCGCCGTGCAGGCATGGCTCCACTATTTAGGTGCTTGGACCCTGGAGAAGACGCACATGTAAGGTGAGGTGGCGGCCTTGGGGGGAATAGGGAGTAGTTGGGAGAGGGTGGGGGGAATTTGGGACGTGCAGGGCTGCAGCGGCCAGAGAAAGAGGCGACTTTGCCCAGCTCCAGGGCTGTGGCTGCCGGGGGAAAGACGCCCCTCATTCCCAGCCTCAACCCTGTGGCTGCTGTGGTGGAGGAGAGACCCCCCCCCCCTCCTTCCCAGCCCCAGCTCGGGGGCTGCCGCAGCAGGGGACAGAGGGCACATCCATCACATTAGAAAGGTCAGACTACTGATATTAAAATATGAGTTGTGCGCTCTTATTTGTAGAACAAACAAAAAACCCCGTTCATTATTATTAAGGTTTTTTTGTGTAGTGCTTTTACCCAAAGGGCTTTACAATGGTTAGCTAAGGATACAAACAAGGCTTGGAGAGCTCATTAAGTGGCCTGCCGAGACCCTCAGCAATTTTCAAGTGAGCTGCGGAAAAAAAAGTTCGAGAACCGCTGCTGTGTACGATGGAAACCACGCCAAGCCCGGGGGGGGGGGGGTGGCAGCCCCCCTGGTCCCAGCACCTGTGCTCAGCTGCCCTGATGCCACTGGGGCTGATGGCAGCACTGGATCCCTTGTGATGAGCCGTAAAACAGCCACGGGGCTGAAGAAGTGGGACCGAAATGAGCCCCAGCCTGGCTGTGTGTAAGTGAGCGCCAGCCCCCGGGATGTGCGCTGAGTTACACAACCGCCGGGAAACACACAGCGTCCCGATGGAGAGGCCCTGCGGTGGCTTTCCGGGCGCCGGGCGGGAGCGCGGCGCAGAAGGAAAAGCTCCCGCTGTGTAAAGAGGGTTGCAAGTCCCTCCCCTCCTGTGGGGAGCGAGGCGGAGGCCGACGGAAAGAGAAACAGCCCCGGAGCAGCAGCCTGCTGGGGCGCTGGCTGTCTCGGGGATCCAGGCTGCCTCAGGACTGCGGCAGGCGGGCGCAGCTCCCCCGCGCCCGGGCAGGCCGCTCCCGGGGACCCCGCGCAGGAGGTAAGGGGCGTGGGAGAAGGGAGGCAGAGGAAAAAGCCCCAGAGCGGGGCGGGAGGGGATCTGTAAAGGGCTCTGTTCTAAGCCCAGTGGTTCTCGCTGCCGTCTCTCTGCCTTGCTCCTCTTTCTCAGTCCAGTCTTCCCCAGGCTAGCCCCACACCCCCGACCTCTGCCCAGACGCTGAGTCTTATGCCAGCCCCCCTTCCCCCCCGCTACTCAGACTATCATCTCGCCTCCTCCAGACTGGCTCCTCATCGCCCCCTGCTACCCAGAGCGGCATGTCCCCCAGCTCCTCACCCAGTCCCGATGCCCCCCAGACCTGCATTTCACCCTCCCTGCCCCTGCACAGACTAGCATCTTGCCACATCCCACAGGGCTAGTCCAGCAGACACAAATCAGGGGCGTTTAGTGATTAACTGGGGCCTCTGGGTTCAGTGTGCCACCATCTCCCCCTCAGCTACCCCAATTTCTTGTGCCATACCTGCCGGGGGAGGGGAGAGTCCTTCCTATTGGACTGGGAGGGCGAATGGGTGACTTGGCTTGTATCTGGTGTGTGTACGGAGGGAGTTGGAGGAAGAGTGGATGAAGGCGTCCCAGAGCCAGGGGAAACTACTTTGTTCTGGGGTGTATAAAGAGGGAGGTAGCCTGGGAGTCCGGGGGACTTTACATTGTCACCAAAACTCTGCACGAAGCAGCTTGTACCCTACCCCACCTGGCACTGGCATGTGGACAGTTTACATGCAGTTACTGAGGAAGCAACTGTAGGTAGAAACAGGGGCTAAAGTGAAAGCTGGATTTACAGCAGTTATAATATTATTTGTATTACCATAGTACCTCTGCACGTCACTCAGGGATCAGGACCCTGTTGTGCGAGGCACTATACAAACACAGAACAAAAATACGAGCTTCCACTCTAAGTTCCAGACAAGAGACAGCTGATGGATGTAAACTGACAGGGGGGAAAACACAAGGAAACAATGAGACAATACTGGTCAGCATGATAAACAGTGGTGTCAGCAGGTCAGCTGCCTAGCCATTGTCAGATTTCAGTAGACATCAGGGCAAAAGAGAGTTTTAAGGAGCAATTTGAAGGAGTGTAATGATGTAGCTTTATGGCTGTGGTGGCAGATCCTCAGTAGAGCTAGGCTGATTTACACCAGCTCAGAATCTGGCCCTCTGTTGTGTCTTATTAACATTGAAACCAAAAAGAAAAGGAGTACTTGTGGCACCTTAGAGACTAACAAATTTATTTGAGCATAAGCTTTCGTGAGCTACAGCTCACTTCATCAGATGCATTCAGTGGAAAATACTGAATTTTTAGGTATTTTTCTGTTAAAGAGGCATTAATGTAAGTAACCCTTGTGCCAAAGGGGGAGTTATATTTTGTTACACTGTAAAGAAGGGTGAGGGGCAGAAACTGCTTCCAAGGGGCAGAAAGATCCTTTCCAAGTAAACGTATCCAACTGGGAATTACACGTTTAATTCCTGGCTCTGGCAAACATTTACAGTATGACCCTGGGCAAGTCACAGCCTTTCGAAGCCCCATATTCCCATCTGTACAATCTTGCTTTTCCTTGTGGAGTTTGATGCTACAGTGACGGCTGCTAAAGACATATGCAGGCTTAATTTAGTCACTTTGTGTAAGATGTTTTCAAACATCAGCTAGAAGTTGCTATAGAAGTGCAAAGTCTTACTGTCTACCAGACTTGGTGCCTAGAGCAGCCCTTTTGTATTTCGCTCAGTTGTGCATGGCCCCCACAATACGAAAGCCTTTGGCGTAAGGACATTCTGTGTCATCAGGCTCCCTCAGTCTTATTCACCACTTATCCATGAGTAAATATTTAATCTCTCTGACTAAACTCTTCCTCTCTGTCAGCCTTCCTAATAATACAACATCCTGAGTGGAGGTTATGGACAGGGCCAAGGTCAGAAAAACTGACAGAGTTTGATTAAAGATATTAACTTTCCAATCCTACCCCCCCTAAAGTGTGAGAGGTTTCCAGTTACTGGAGTGGGGAGGAGGCTGTTCACAGGTTAATTTGCACGGACGTCTCTTACCTTAGCCCCACATTTACATTTATCTTTTATATATGCAATCCTAACTCAGGCCTGACATTAGCAGTGCTGACTCATGACAGGCTGTAATAAAGTGCAGCATGCATTCTTATACACAGTTTCAAAATGAAATTCTTGTTTCCAGCTTCCTTTGCTGCAGCTGTTTTGCATCCTACACTTGAGGTGGATCACATGCTTTAAAGATCTCACGGACTGGGGAACTCATTCATCCGTGTAACAGACTTTGGAGCAAGTTAATGTTGTGCCTGGGCCAGTCACAGACACTAAATTGCATTGTGCCACTGTAGCCTATGTTTATAAACTTCCTTGTGGTCAGGGTCACTCACTAATATTGATGATTGTCCCTCTTGTCCATAACAAACTGAGTAGCTGGCATACATCATAGAAATAAACAGGCAAGGGAGCATCTAATGATAATCACATCTAGGGCCTGATCCTGCCACTCTGACATAGATGTAATTCTCACTGGAACCTATGGGAGTTTTATGTATGAGAGAACTACAAGAGGAGGCCTAAAGTGGCCAAGTGAAGCCAGACCCTCAGCTGATTCAGCTCCACTGGTCAGTGCTGATTCACTCTAGCTATGGATCTAGCCCTTGGGAGTTTAGAAATGAATAGTTACCGTCATATATGTATTGAATACATAAAGGAGAGGCCTCCCTGCCTTCTCTCTGCTTCTTTCAACTGAGCTCTTGTGACCATTTCCCTGAGGCCCTCCATATGGATGGGCAGTGGTTTGCCACCACTGAAATTGCAGGAGTGGTTAACATGGAAAATTATGTGATAAGCAGCATTCTGGTTCCTCCTGTGTCTGATGCCAATTGACATTCCTCCCCACTTTTCCCCAACTCTCTCCTTTCTGCACTTACTCCACTAATTCCTCTTCTTACCCCTCTGCATGGCATTTAGCTGCAGACATGTTGCCCTATATTATACATCTGTACACTCACTATTCCTCCTAACTTCAGACCCACATGTAATAGTGGCAAGAGAGCATTAAACTAGGAGATGCCTATAACAAAGTGTCACTTCAGTCAAACATTACCAAAGAAAGGCCCTTGTCAGCATAATGCAAAGTGTAGCACCTTAAAATACATTGAAAGGAAGCAGTGCTGATCAAATCAAGGTCGGGGTGGTTGTTTTTTTGCTCACTTACTTCCTTTAACTATGTATCTCCTCCTCTGCAGTGCCACAAACCTACTCTCCTTTTACTTAAGTATCAACATGATTGGTTCACATACAGAAAACCCCTTGCAAACAACGCTTGAAGTTTATTTGCTTATTACCATTTCCTTTGACTAGTAACTAATATTTTGGTATGTTGCTGTTGTGCATAGTTTGTTATTTTTTTGAAAGCTAGAAGACATTCTTCATAGCACATTTATACAGTGCAGTTTTTATAGTATGCCCATGTATATGATCCAAGGAAGAGTTAGAGTTGGGGGCTCATCTACCTTCAGATACATCTCACACATTGTGTATGCCCTGAGCACACGTACATAAGTGGCAGGATATACTGAAACAAAGTACAGTATTGGGCCTTTACTGTCTGAAGCAGCAGCTAAGGGACCACAGTACCATTCCCACATCACACAGAGTCTTTCTGGGGAAATCAGTTAGAAATAATTGCTCCTCAGATTAATTTAACTGGCTACAGCATTGGGAATTTAGTCTCTCTGCCTCAGTTTCTCCATCTATAAAATAGGATTAATATGTAACACATTTGCAAGGAGTGCAGGGGTGCTTAGAAGAAAGGTTCAAAGAAGTAGTATGATGATAATGAAACAGACTGATGCTCACAAATGCCACCAAAGTTAAGGATTTCCAGTCCCCCATTTTATTACTAACTCCGCCACAGAAAGGTGTTGGAAGATGACATGAGGGTTTTTCCTGTGGGATTCAGGCTGATTGGGAAGCTCCCCCCAACGTACTGTGACCAGTGAAGTACCACCATCATCTTTCAGTGTTTAACTCTGCCCTCCAGATAGACACCTACAATTCCCCAGGGCATCACCAGGAGTTGCTTGGGTAGATGTTATAGCACAATTGCACCCTTCCTCCTAAAAGTAGGGTTCTGGCAACTACAGCTCCCTGCCACCACAAAGAGAACTGGCTGGCCTGGCGAGGGCAGCGGTGGTGGTGGGACCTGGGGAAGGTGCGCACCCGGCTCTTCTGCCATGACTACACCCGGGGCGCCAGCCGATGGAGGGATGCAGCGATAGGACAGTTGGAACGGGAGGTCTTAGAGCTGGAGAGGCGTCTGGCCGCCAGCCCCAAGGATCCATCCCTCTCCAGGGCGTGCCGGGAGAAGCGGAAGGAGCTCCGGGCCCTTGAGGACTATCGGGCCCGGGGTGCCTTTGTTCGATCCCGCATCCGCCTCCTTCGGGAGATGGATCGTGACTCCCGCTTCTTTTACACCCTGGAGAAAAAGAGGGGGGCCAAGAAGCACGTCACTTGCCTCCTAGCAGAGGACAGCACGCCCCTCACGGATCCGGCGGAGATGTGCGGGAGGGCCAGGGCCTTTTATGCAGGCCTCTTCTACCCAGATCTGACCGATCCTAACACTTGCAGAGTGCTCTGGGACGAACTCCCAATGGTCAGCGCGGGTGACCGAGACCGGCTAGAGCTGCCTCTCACTGTGGCCTAGTTCTCGGAAGCCCTCCACCGCATGCCCACCAATAAATCTCTGGGCATGGACAGGCTGACTGTGGAGTTCTACCGTGTGTTCTGAGACCTCCTCGGCCCAGACCTAGTCACCGTCTGGGCCGAGTCTTTGCAGAGCAGGGTCCTCCCTCTTTCATGCAGGTGAGCCGTGCTCGCCTTATTGCCGAAGCAGGGGGACCTCCACGATTTACGAAATTGGCGTCCCGTCTCGCTCCTCAGCATGGACGACAAGGTTGTAGCGAAAGCCATCTCGCTGCGGCTAG